CAGGCCATGCTCTGATAAAAAAACGGTGTGCAAGAGGATGTTAATATTTATAAAAAAAAATTACCTTAACCCTTTGTTGCACGGAAATTTTTTTTTTCATTTTTTTTAAAAAAAATGTTATGGTTAAATTTTAATGATAAAGATAAGCACAAAAAACGCTTCAAAAATTTTTTTCATCCCTTCTCTAAAATACTGTAGGGGTAGGAAAAGTGGTAGAACTGTCATACCACCGCACACTCACCTTCCAGGTTTGTCATTGTGCGGTGGTATAACTGTGATACCACTTTGCTGACCACATTGGATTTTAATATATAGAGTACATTTGTATGTATGTATGATTTCAACTTTCTAATTTTAGTGATATCGATTATCACATACATCATTTTTGGGTCAGGTATAGGGGGGGGGGGGGGTTTCAGCGAGTGGAGAACGGCAGTCAAGATGAAAATAAATAAATAAATAAAAAATAGTCAAAATTTAAATTTCAAACACGAGCAAAATTTTTTTTAAATGAATATGAAAAAAGTCAAAATCCAAAAACTTTGTGACTACACAGAATTAGGGTGGAAGGAATGGGGGAAAAGAAGAAAAAGAAAGGGGGTGTATTTTTGAAGTTCTGGGGGAAAATTATTTTTTGTGGGAGGGGGGGGGAGGAAAAAACTAAAGAATATTTGTGGTCAATAAAGAGTGGCATGTGCGGTATAATTTTCTGGGTCATTTTGGTAGTAGATTTAATGTATGAAGTCAAACAGCCCCCCCCCCTCCATAGTCAAAGATACTGCCCCGAATTCAAGATGTCTGACTTTGAAAGGCAGGAGGGTGCATTTTGTAAATTTTTACGTGATTAGGCAAGTGAGATATCAATTCTTATGAAATTTTGGTCCAAAATTTCATATAAGGATTCAAAATTTTATATAAGAAGTCATAATAGCCCCCCGGTCAACGAAAAAGCCCCAAATCAAAGATGGCGACTAAATTTGAAAGGCAGGAGGGTGCATTTTTTTAAAAATTTTACGTTATTAGGCAAGTAAGGTATCAATTTTGATGTAAATTTGGTCGTCGATTTCATATGTGAAGTCATAAAAGCCCTCCAGTCAACGACAGTGCCCCAAATCCAAGATGGCGGCCAAATTTGAAAGACAGCAAGGTGTATTTTTTAAATTTTTACTTGATCAGACACCTGAAATATCAATTCTGATGTACCTTTTTTCGTAAATTTTATATGTAAAGTCATAAAGGCCTCTTGGTCAAAGGGGGTACCCTAAATCCAAGATGGCGGCCAAATTTAAAAGGCAGGAGGGTGCATTTTTTGAAATTATAAGTGATTAGGCAAGTTAGGTATCAATTCCAATGTCACTTTGGTCACCCACATCAAATATAAAGTCATAACACCCCCACCAACCCCCCCTCCCGGTCAAAGAGGGTGTCCCAAAAGCCAAGATGGCGGTCAAATTTGAAAGGCAGGAGGGTGTATTTTTTAAATTCTTACGTGATCAGGCATCTGATATCAATATCAGAAATCAATTCTGATAAAATTATTGTTGTGAATTTCATATATGAAGTCATAAAGACCTCCTTTTCAAAGGGGGTACCCTAAATCCAAGATGGCTGCCAATTTTGAAAGGTAGGCGGAGGGAGCATTTTTTGGATTTTTTGTGCTTAGACAAGTTAGATTTCAATTCTTATATCACTTTAGTCGCACATTTCAAGCATGCAGTCATAAAAAAAACCCCGGTCAAAGAGGGTGCCCCAAATCCAAGATGGCGACTGAATTTGAGAGGTAGTAGCTTCACCCTTCACCCGAGAAATACGCTTAGGACAAGGAAATGTCGGTTCTCGAGTGACATTGGGATCAAAACTTGAAACAGGGAGAAAAATTTCCTCGAGAATGCACAGAAAATTGAGTTATCTACAAAATGCTGTGTGTGCGGTGGTATAACTGTCATACCACTTTATTTCAGCTCAGAAAATCGACCAAAATGAAAAATCAAGTAAAAACTGCAATGCACCTAGTAAATTACGGCTAGTTAGATTAGAGAATCACATTTACCTAAAAAATAACACCTATTTTTCACACACGACTCGAAGAAAAACAATGCGGATCCGACATAAACTAAAATACCGGGTTTTCATGACATACAATACGCTGTAGCCATGTCATTTTGTAAAAATGAATGGTCATACCATTTAGCAATGATAACTAGAGGTATATTGGACCCAATGATTCAGTAGTTGAGCCTGCTCATCACATTGGCAGCGCTGTAAAAATTAAAAACCGAAGTGGTATGACATGTATACCACCGTGCAACAAAGGGTTAACACGATAAATTGATTTGAATGGTGAATCAGGGTGAATGTGGTGGTTTGATCTGCTTCAATTATGAGTAGCCAAAAACAATAATTTTGTAGAAAGTAACTAAGCCACTTCAGATATTGTTAAATCGGGCATTTTAATCATTTACATTGAACCGGTTGTGCGGATGTTTGTGCAAATTTTGGTGAATTTTCCGCATAGTGCGAAGCAAATTCCTTAAATTTTTAAAGGAATCCGCAGAGAAGGTATCTTTTAAAAAGTTACCAACGGAAGCCATGGCTCTTTTTTCGAAGATAAGGACCCCCCCTGAACTCCCATTCATATCAGGGGAGAGTCCAAGAGATTCCTATTCTTGGCGAGGTGTCTTTTAGTGATCCCTAGACCCCCGTGATAACGTGTCTTTCTGCCCTGCTCCCCCCCCCCCCCCCTCCCCCCNAAAAGCAGTGGCGTGGCGTGAATTGCGATATATCGATTGTTATGCCACTTAAACCTATGAAAAAAGATCGATTATCAGGGTGTTCGCAGCGAACACCTTAGTAATCGATTCTTTACCATAGCTTCAAAGGGCGAGATATCGATAATCGATTATTCACGCCACGCCACTGCAGGCTAAAAGCCGTACAAGCAGCTTTCTTACGGTGACCGGAACGATATCGGTGGTTTTTGAAAAATAATGCGTAAGTGTCTCTCAATTAGCTCTTTTAACTTTAACCAAACTTATTCGTGATCCTTTTTTCATAATGTTTTTTTGATGGACGTACTTCAAATTGAGCGTCAAATTTTCAAACAAAATACTCAAGGTAAAAAATAGGCAAAAAATTTGAAGTTTAACGAAAGTCAAACACGCCATCGGCCGAATGAAATTAAAAACGACTGTTCTCGTGTCAGTTTGAAAATCATCTGAAGTTTTCATAGGTGTTTTAAGCGTGCCAGTAGGGCTCGCTTTTTGAAATCACTCGGATGTACCATAGTACAGCACACCGATCAACCTATGCTATTCAACGGGCCGTCGAAATATTTTTTTCCTCGGACCCGTTTTCTTGTCTTTGAACCATTATACTGTCAAGCCCTGATGGTCTCTTACCAAAAAACCGAATGAACTGCTAATTGGGAACCCTTGAGAATATTTTCCTGTCAAAACCGTATTATTTCATTTGACAAAAACCTCATAGAAGCTTTCTTACGCTCGGAGGACTCAACTCTAGAACCTTCTTTCCCGCCAAAACTGTTTAGCCAATGAGCGTCTTGCACTGCAAGTGCAATCTGTGATGAGCCTCGTGACTCTTTATACCATGTACTAACCGTGGCCCCTGCAGAAATCCACTCAAACCACTGCAGTTATCTCCCGATATAGCTTTGGGTGTCAGGTTTCGAGCAAGGCAATAAAAGACGGCGAGGAGAGGGTCGCCTCGTCGAACCTATTATCTTCCACGCCCGATTAACCATTCACCGTGACGCCAGGATCCACCAAATTTTCACAAAAATTGTTTTCCGTCTATTTAGCGAGTTTTTCCTTACTTTCCGTTAAAGTACAAATAAAAAGAGACCTCATTTGTAAAAATCGGCCGAATAGGAGAGAAGTTACAGTTCGAAATCCAAAGAGATTAATAACTCAACGCGATTTCGATGCACGGCAGTTCGCCCAAATCACGGTCGTGCGAAATGCCGCATATCAGCTTAAAATCAAGATAATTGGACGGAATCTTTAAAATCAATTTACATTCAACGTTCATGAATCAATATTTTCTCCCAAATTTAGCAAAAAGTACCAATTGATGCAAATAACAAAGACGTGAAAATAGTAGGTATGTGTCCAACATTTTAGTTATTCGGCACGCTTTTCCAACATATTTCTGCTTGTTTTTCTCTTAAACCGGTGTGCCATGGTAAGGTCTGCTAATATTATTGCGCTCTATGATAGCTTTTCATCGATATTTTAGAGGAATCATTGAACTCACCATAAAATTTCAAAATTCATTGAACCTCTCAATTGATTTTTTATCCCTTTATTTAAAATTTTTTGAACAGAATACGAATTAGCTGTGGTGTTATATCAGTGATGAAGGGTTTAAAGTAATAACATTTCGAACGGAACAGGGACGTTAAACTGATTACTGTATTATTCCAATAAAAGTTTAATATTACACTGGAAAAAAACACATTGGATCTTGAGTCCAGACTCTTGAAAACATCGACAAGAAAAAATACTCTTGATTCAATCGGATTTTTGCTTGAATCAAAACGAAATCCGCTTAAATTGAGGGGCTTGGTTCTTGATTTAAGCTAGATTCTGATTGAATCAATAGTACTTTTTCTTGTCAATGTTTTTAGAGTCTGGACTCTAGATCCAAATGTGTTTTTTTTTCCAGTTCAATGAAAATAAGCGAACTGAACTAAACCCATTTTAATAAAGTACAATCTTGAATAAAAATTCCAAAATGTATTTTTTTGTCTTTTAAAGAAAAATAGGCATTATCGTGAAGACTTTTCTAAACAATAAAAAAGAACAAATATACAAATAAAAAAAACAAGTTTATTTTGTACCATTTAAAACTGAAGAAAGTACCTTCAAACCCTTCGACATCCCTCGACACTCTTGAATTTCCTCTAAGAAAATTAGCACAAAAAAGGGTTTTCGTAATTAATATCGTTTTAATTTTCATTCCATCGCGCAAAAAATCCTTACCTGCACTTAATCACACGTCCCGGAGGACCATCAACTCCACGCCGACGAACACCGGAGACCCTCGGTCAAAACTCTTCACCACCCCCGTAAAACTCCCACGTCCATGACGAACCGCAAATGAGGAAAATTAAAACGAACAAGGAAAGAGGAGCCCCACGTCCACGAGGGGAAACTGGGTCGGAATCATCGCTAGGCACACGTTAGGATGAGTCATTCTCGGGCCGTGAACTCCCTTAATTTACCCTCTCTGTTTGTTTTCGCTCCCCGCGGGGGTGCCGTGGTTCCGGACGTGGCGCCACGCGCGATACCCGCGAACCGCGCCGAGAGACACTTTGACTCGGCCACGAGGCTGTGCGACTGCGACTGATACTGAGACTGAGACGCCGAGGGGACAACCTCATCATCCCCGTCAAGGAAGCGCTGAGTTCTCCCCCGCCGCCGCCTCCGATAAGAATCGATCTTCGGGACTCGTTCGCTTGAGAGTCCTCGAGTCTTCCCTTACGAAGAATCGATCTTTGGGACTCGCTCGCTTGAGAGTCCTCCAGTCTCCCTCCACAAAGAATCGATCTTTGGGACTCGTTCGCTTGAAAGTCATCGAATCTTCCCTTACAAAGAAGCGATCTTCAGGGCTCGCTCGCTTGCGAGTCCTCGAGTCTTCCCTCACAAAGAATCGATCTTCGGGACTCGTTTGCTTAAGAGTCCAAGAGACTTCCCTCACAAAGAATCGATATTTGGGACTCGTTCACTTGAGAGTCATCAAGTTTTTCCTCACAAAGAATCGATCTTCGGGACTAGGTCGGCTAGGAGGTCTTTTAGTCTGCTCTCATAAGGACTCGATCTCCATACACGAAAAAAAATAGGTAGTCGACACAACCAGCGGCTGGTTAAAAGTGCGACAGCTACCGTGCGGTAGTTACGGTAACTACCGCGGTGGTGGTCACAACTAACCCGGTGGTTACATCAACAGCCATGGATGTTGTAACAGCCAATGGATGAACTACCGGGCCAGTTTTGACCTGCACCGCGGTAGTTATCGTAACTACCGCACAGTAGCTGGCGCATTTTTAACTAGCCGCTGGTTGTGTCGACTACCTTATTTTTTTCCGTGTAGGACGTTAATTTCGAGTCCTCACGAGGAATCGATCTTCATGGCTCATTCATTTGAAGGTTTCAGAGACTTCCCTCGCAAAGGATCTATCTTCGAGACTAGCTCGTTAGGAGATCTTTTAGTCTGCCGCCACGAGGAATCGATCTTCGTGGTACGTTAGTCCATGAGGTCCTCATGAGAAATCGATGTAGTGGCAACTTTGAAAGTTGGGAACACTGCTTTACCTCTATTAAAATCAATTGAAAATATCGATTTTAAGTGACGCAAGCTGCTCCACCAAGAATCGATTGTTTCACAGAGATTTAAATGGGGGAAAAACGGTGTTGTCAACTTTTAAGAATTGGAACTATCTTCGGGGCTCCGTTTTTTCGCTTCCCGGATGAAAGAACGTAACTCTAGCCCAAAGTTGTCAAATTGACTAGAATAATTTTATTTCCTCAAAAATATACATGCGCAATGTTTGTCTAAAATTTTTCGGACTTTCAGATTAAATCAGAGGACTAATCAGTGATATTTTTGGTTAGAAAAGCTCAAACTTCTTCTGGTAAAAATGTAATCTACGAGGGAAAATTTGGCAACAGTGGAATGTAGTTATGTTCTTTCATGAGAAAGAGGACGATTTGTTGGAGAGTTATCGGGCCTTCTATCGCGAGGACTTGATATTCATGCTTCGTCCATTGGAGAGTCTTGGAGTATTCCCTCACGAGAAATCGATCTTCGTGACTCGTATACATATGTATTGCGGATGAACGTAAAGCTCAATAAAGTCTGTTAAATGTATTGATATTTATATAATGTTCTGCTCTCCTCATGAAATATGGGCGAAGCAGACTACATGAACTATCAGTATTTTCCCATATGAAATTGTGGTAAAGAATCGATTACTTAGGTGTTCGTCGCAAATGCCCTGATTATCAATCACATTTCAGAAGTGTAACTATGATTGATCAATTGATGTATCGCAAAGCTGAAAATGCCACTAGTCGCTACACTCTTACACTCTTAACGACCTATATTAACGACGAATATGACATAGTCATTTCATGGACACTTCAGGAAACATTTTTTCCGAGAGTCAAAACGCCTTCTTTTCCGTGCGTATGCAACATGGACATCCATAGAGCTCGAATAGTTGCATCCATGCTTTATATTTGTATATCCATGTTTGAAGTACGTTTTGTATTCGTCGCATTCTACACTAACCGTGGGCGCTCCTCTTCTCATACTTAAATAAAATCAAGTGGAAAATAAACAGACCCGTTATCACTAACCGTGCCAATTTTTCATTTCCTAGTGATTTCCTTGATGAAACCCTAGACCAAAATGTCTCGGTTTTTCTGATCATTAAATTTTTCAAGTTTCGCTATTCAGATTCACACAGTTTCTTAGTAATTATATTTATTGTTATATACAATCATTTGATCGTTCTCTTAATCAGAAAAAATGAGACGGTATTTTAACTCGTTGAGAATAATGAGCATGGAATTCATAAAAAAGATGCAGCTGAGGAATAATTAAGGTTGATTTCGTATTTTTGTTGATGATCTGAACTTTGATTAAAACTTTGACGAGCTACTTATACAGTATCAGTAATCACCGGTCTCTTAATTTTTGTTGGGGCCTTCAGAATTTTCTATTATTTCCAGATCATTCCAGATATTTGATAATTCGGTTCATTCTTATTTGCTTTCTGCCATTGAAGTCGGATTGTTTGAGAATTGAAATCATTCAACATGGCCTGATGAATGAATGGCTTTGGTGATGGAAGTGGCAAAGTTGCTTGAGACTTACTATGAGCAAAAGAAAAAGTCTGAAATTCACTTCTCATCACACAATTAACGAATTTCTCGCAATACGGGTGCAATGTTTCAAAAGATATAAATTCTAAAAAAATTGTGATCAAATAAATTGGGAAGGCGGGGCAGAAGAGGAGGAATTCAAACTAAAATACTGGTAGGTTCTCCTTTCAAAAACTTGACATTTTGCCTTGAGTAAATTACATTGATGCCTAATTATTGCGAATAATTTGTCAGTAAACAACTTCCGTACTGCCGGAGTAACCTCTCATAAAACGTCTAGCTATATATTGCACCGTGCCAAGCGATTATCAGCACTGCTGCCGAATTCATCTTAAAAACTATTGTTATTTATTACGCCGTTTTCAAAATGGTCAAAACGAATCTAGTCAACATAAAATCCTCAAAATATGGATTCTGGACAAGTTTACTACAGAATAAGGATTTTAAAGAGCACCCACTCATTAGAATGAGATAAATTGGTGCAGGAAAAATGTCATATAAACAATCGAACATTGCTCCACCTCCTCTGATGAAACACGGATATCCTGAAAAACTCAGGAGTTTTTCCATTCCCAATTTTTTTGGAGGATTCTCAATACATTGTAAAAAATTATATTCACAATTCAATTACTTAGCAGAGATCTGGAAGTTTGACAGCATTGGAGTAATCATACGGCGTTCTTCCTCATAGCAAGGCAGATCTGTATTGACCTCCACCTGACGATACGATGATTGATGAACGTTACGTCAAGCAGTTTGCAGAGAAAGTTTGTCAAATTAGATCTGATTTCAATGAATTCTGTCGCTCAGGTACGATTAAGTCACCAATCAATGATTATGTTTTGTGGACAGTGTAACCAATGAGAATCCCAAATGAACTAACGAACCTTACCAAATCCTGGACACAAAAGAAACCCAAGTCATTTGATTGACGAAGAAATGCTTGGGGAAATAAAGCCACAGTAACATTTTTACTTTGTCGAAGTACGACTAACCCAAAGAGGGATCGTGGAATCATTATGAGGCGAATACATTGCAGGGAGTTTTCAGGGGGCAACCACGTTCAATGGACCACTAGACAAGGTACGAATTTCAGCATTCTGATACATGCTTCTTAACCAAAATCTCACGTAAAACACGATTCGCACAACAAAAATTACCAAAATCAACTTCTCACGAAGATATTCAATAATTCTTGATGCGTGAACTCAAACCACCCGTTCATAAAAAATCAATGCTCTACGTGATTCACATTGCGCGCTAAACGTTTATCATGACAGTCTCTGCGATATGAAAATCTGGTAACCTCAATCTTGACACTTTGGCTCAGCTATAGCAAATTACTTATAGTTTGAACAACTCATAGTGGGAAATGAACATTGCTCGATTGAGAAGATTGCTGAAACCGTTGTAGTGCGCGATTTGACTCACGTAGAGGTTTGAGGTTCTTGAGAGCGGGCAGTAAATCCATTGTAACCAATGTGAAATAAAAACGTTGGTATCTTCGTTGGGAATTGGTTTCAATCATTTTCGTTGCGCAAATCGTGTTTTGCGTGAAATTTTGGTTAAGAAACGGATATCAGAATGCTTGAATTCGTAGCTTGTCTAGTGGTCCATTATACTTCAACAGATGAACGACCCACTGAAGCCCTCTTTATCAAACAAATCTTGTTTTGACCCAGAACTCACAGTTGAAGATGTTGGTCCTTACTTTCAGGTGTGTTCGAGGGGATACTTTTTAACCACGACCATGGAATACACTCATATGGGTTAATCAATCTCGAGGCTGGTTTTTAAATACACTCAACATTGCCAACAGCGCTCGAAAAATACAAATTTCGACATATATGAGCGTTATGCAAAGTAATTTTATATCGCCCCTATCGACCGAGTTTCTATGAATTAGGAGAGTGAGTGGATGAAACAGCCAACGTGTTTCCTGAATCAAAGCGTGTATCGGTATGTGTTAAAATAACCAACAGTGTTCAACTAACCAACTAATGTGTAGATATCCTAGCCGTCCGTCCGAACTTAAATGTAGGTTTTTTGTCACCAACTAACGCGGCTGATCGGCATAGCGCAATCGATATGGCGCTCATACGACTAATATGACAGGGCAAAATTATTTTCGACAATATCCGCACTCCAAAAATTCAGCGCCTGCAGCCGAGATTATCGGTTTTGGCTGCCAAAATTGGGCAGAATTGTCATGAGCTCGGCTGTATTATTGGCATTACTGCCCAACTGTGACAGCCGGAACCAGAAATTTCGATTTTAAAGACAGATTTGCGTCTCAGGACCAAAGGTCCAAAAAATCGACCCCTGTATTTAATGATTTTCAAATGAGCACGCTCCTGACGTCAGGTAGTTTAACTCTGGAACGCCCCGTACACAGCTCCTGGGGCCGAATTCTGTCGGAAAAAACTAGCCTAATTAAATACTCTTAACATGAGTGGTAACCTCACTTAAGTACGTAATAATTCTAATTAGCCGTCGGAGGCTCCGACGGCGAACAATTTTAACGCATCGACAGATGTTACATTTCGATACTGAAGTGCTGACAAAATTCAGCCCGTTTCCAAAACAAACTTTTTTGTTAAAGCTATGTTCAAGTATAGTATGTAAGACATTCTGCCCGGCTTTTTAACCTCCCTCCCTCCTCCCTTGTATGGCACCCATAAGACAACCTCTTATTCCCAACCCTTTTGGGTTGTATAAGATTGGCGCTATTCAGAATCGATAGCCACATGACGACACTCTCTTTATCAAGTGACTCTACCCCCAAGTGGCTTACACTGTACTTGAGCGTCCCCTCAATATTTTTTTTTTTTGGGGGGGGGGATTAAATCTTAAGATTACTCCTCGGCGAGCAACCTGATGGTCATGCGATGGATCCGGTCAGTTATGAGCGTATCGTCAGATGAGAAGATGTCAATACCCAATTCCGTCTCATCACCGATAAGTTGTTCTCTCCTCCCTCTCGGCCCCGCTGTGCGGCGCACAGTGGCTCTCGTCAATTAGAGAGGTCGCACATGACATTTTTTACTAAAACCGCAAATTTCAATGTTTATATCGTCACGTTTCAACTTTCAACGGGTGGTTCTAGAAGCGAATTTTACGAGAAAACCAGTGGAGCCACTTCTAGAACCTCAAAGTTTCGTGTAAACGGAGTTATAAGCGTTTAAAGTTTCTAAATTTTGTCCGCCTTCTCCAATTGACTCGATCCACTGTGCGGCGCGACGCAACTCGCGTTAATTCAATAGCAAGAGCAAGGTAACGACTAACGAGCGATCGCGACAGCGGGCAGTCGTCCGTCATCGTTCGCACGTTCAGCGACGCTTGTGAATTTTGTGTTCGCGAAATTTTCTCCGATCCACCGTCCGGACCGTGACGTCATGTCCTCGGCAGGGAAAATTGGGATTATCGGCAGGTCAGTACTCGGATTTCCCTCAATTTTGGGCAGAGCATGGATTTATAATTATTCAACAAATCCAGTAGGTTATTCAGAACTCTCAAAAAATTACCGAGAAACTCTTTTAGTTTGTAGAATCGCAAGACAAGGTCTGAAATAGAGGAAAACGTCGAGTGTTTTCTCTTCAAAATCTTACATAGAAAACAATTCGCACAACGGGAAACTTTGAAATCGACTCCTGAAGTCTTGAAAGAGATATTAACAGGTCTCTTAAACACAGATCAAATAGAAGTTCGATTATTTAATAACGTCACTTATAGTTTTGTTATATTTGGCCTGCATGCGTGAATAGAATACACGTATATCTTGTTCACGAGTTGATTTTCAAACTTTCCTTTGCGTGATTCGTTTTCCTTGTGGAACTTTGACGGAAAAAAGCTAACGCACTGAGCTTCAATGCATACTTTGTCTAGAGGCCCTTTGGGCGACATTCATCCAGCCTGAGTGTATCAGATATTGCATGATTTTCTCTCGGATTTTATTTTTTTATAAGGTAGCTGAACGACATTCTGCCTCAAAAAATTGTGAGTGTAATTTTTATTTTCTAGGGCTGATTCACGGAAAGTTTCTAAGCATTAAAGTGCTAAGTTTTTTTGTCGCGAAATGGAACATAATATGAGGAAAGAAGGCAACGGAAAGCTCAGTAAAAGAAACAACCCTCCCCTGGTCGCACATGCAGCTCGCAAATTAACTCGTAAAAAAAGTGTGTCAGGTGAAAAAGTGTAGTTTTTAACAGTCTAAAGGAAGCACGTCAACAATTACGTATAAAAACCTATAAAAAGGCGTGTATAATCAGAGTTCCAGAGTTTTACGCATAAAAGCTTTGTAGAATAAAAAAAATGTAAAAGACTGGAGAATAAACTGGATTTTCTACAATGTTTTAGGTGAAATTTGTCCTACTCAGTATTATTCTTTTTGGCCTTTTTAAGTACTACTTTTTATGAGAATTTTTTCTCTGTAGTATTTTTTCCCCATGAATTTTATGTTGCGTGCTACCATAGGATCATCAGTGTCTCATATTTTCTGATACCAAAATTAAAAATTATAGTCAACGAAATTGATTTTTTGCGATCAATGAAACGATTTCTCAATTTATAAATATCTGTGTTGAATTTACTTACTCCTCGCGAGAATATTTCATTTTCTTCTTTGATAACGAATCCTGAAGGCGGTGTATGGCTGTTTTTCTGAATATCGGCAATTCTAGTGAGATGTTATAAAAATATACTAACAATAAGTATGATGACCATTAACTGGAAAAACCATACCTTTAGTTACTCAAATATTAAAGTGGTGAAACTAAAAAAAGCAGGATAAGGATATGTTGAATAATCGATGATCTGAATATTTTTACTGATGAAAAATAGTTAGAACTTACCATTCATATTTCTGCGCTGGCGATAAATTATGTATAAATGAAACCAAGCGTGAAAAACTTTCCTCTTCATTCACGAAATGCATATAATATTTTGTCTTTCTTTTTCTCAAAACTGAAGAGTCAGTTTGAAAATACCATTTAAAATCCTATCGTGGTCAATGCTAAAATGTCGAGTCGAATAATCCCAGCGTGAAGGATCCAATGCCGTCTTGCGTAATCTTGAAGATTCGGTCTGAAAAAGACAAGAAAATTGTATGCGATGAAGAAACTACATCACTTTAGAGAGACACGGTAACACGGCATTGCGCATTTTTGTTCCGTTTTAAAAAAAAATCAGGAATCTCACAAAAAACTATAACTACCTAAGGTACAATTAGAGCAGAATGTCAATGTTTTTTGAGTGAAGCAATTCTCTTGTACATTTTGATTTCTTTTCTTTGCACGAGATTGTTTCAAAATTGGGTGAAGCAATTGACGAAAAATATACTATTCTGCAGCCGCCATTCATGAAATACAAAGCAAAACCGCAGTTAAAAAAATTAACCACTTTACTGTAATAGGGAAAATCTTCCATGAAATAGTACCATAAAATTACCATACTGTGAATGTTGCCTGTTCTCGGCTACTTCATCCTGTTGTCACAATGCAGTAAGTGGTCCAGTTATGGCGGGTTGTTGCTCCCGTATTGCCTCTTTAGAAGTTAAAAATTGCTTTCTCATCGATATTTGGTGAAGTTACTGGTTCTTACTGATTTGCGACAAACGTTTAACTTTCGAAAGTGATCATGAAACTGCAAATCACCGGAGCGTGACAAAAGATTAGATTCTTTGAACTGGGACTTTTGACTTCTGCTCATGATCAATTATGTTACAAATGCCCAGAATCTCGTGCAGCTGCTTTTGTGTAATCACGAAACTAATGATATGATATGACTATGAGTCGTGTAAACAAACTGTTGACAGTCCGAGTAAAACGTGTGTGAGATTTAAAGATTTGTCTAAAATTTGCTCTTTAATGTCTTTACTCCAAAGCATGATATCTCAGAGATTACGAGGCGGTTATGTCATTTAGGCCGTAATCACTGTCAGCGGAGCCAAAATTAGATCAAAATTGATGATCGAAAGTCAACTTCAATGACCGAGAGAGGAAGATATAAGGCATATTTCTTTCAGTGGGCACGTTTTTAAATGTAACTTGTTTAAATAAAAAGAAAGGAAAAAGATCACGGATGAAACACGGGTAGGCAGAGATGAAACCTGATTTTCTGTCATTTTCAATGGAGATGTTACATGTGTGAGGGATTTACGATTTGACCATTGATTCTTCTGTAAAAGTTCGCCAGAAACACGATGGTGCTACTGGTTTTTTCTGAAATCAACTCCCAAGCTCAAAAAAAGCTCTTAAGTTGAGGCCAAAATGGAGGGGATATCCCACGCTATCCTGAGAGTCCACCTCTACATCAAGACAAACTCTCCATGCAAAGATAGGGAGCAAATACATTGACAGGGTTGCCGTGATTTCAGTTTAAGTCCCCAAATAAAGTGGCAGCCCTGTCAATGTATTTGCTCCCTATCTTTGCATGGAGAGTTTGTCTTGATGTAGAGGTGGACTCTCAGGGTAGGGTGGGATATCCCCTTCATTTTGGCCTCACTTTGAGAGCTTTTTTTGAGCTTGGGAGATGATTTCAGAGAAAACCAGTGGCACCATCGTGTTTCTCGCCAACTTTTACATAAGAATCAATAGTTAAATCGCAAATCCCTCACACATGCAACATCTCCATTCTCTGCATGCAAAGACAGTCAATTTTAAACTCCTTGGAGATCAACGCGATGAAGTCTTTCGTGGCCGAACCAAGCAGAATTGTATTATTCGTGCCCATGCTTTGCCTATCAAGGTGCTATACTTACATTTAGTCACTTTCCTCAGAATTATTAGAACTGCAGGACTCTTTCGGGTTGTTGATTCGTTCACGGGAGAAAGTTTTAGGGTTTATCGCCTATAATGGTGATACTACCCAAATTTGTTGGATGATATGGACATTATTTCCAATTAATTTTGGTGGTACTGCAACTCAAATTGGGGTAGTACTATAACACTTTGGTTGGTCACCTAATTTATTAGGGTACCACCACAACTAATTGGAAATGTCCAAGTTAGAACTAAACCCCTACCTCTTTTTTTTTTTCCTCCATGTTGATTTTTCCCAGGTATCAGCATTAAACGGCAATGCACTTCTTACGATGTTAGCCTGACACCTCAGAGGAGAAATAAAAGTGGATACCTATGAACGAAAAATTTAGTTTCAGTAATTTTGGCAGAGGGTCGCAGACATTTACTTTCAGATCTAAAATAGTCAGAAATCAGTAGTTTCAAGGATAATGTTATGGGGATTGTTGACAGTGTTATTAGTAGCAAGTGTTGCAACGAACTTCATCGTTTCCTCTCATCAGTGCGGATTCGCTCAAAATAATTAGAAAGCGATAAGTGGATCGAGTTGAGAGAGAGAGAGTGGCGCCTACTAACATTTTGTGATTAACCTCGTTGATGCTTGACGGTTAAGTGTGTGCTGAAATTTTAGCAAACTTTTTATGTAAAACTCTGTCCATTTTTTTAGCTCAGTCCGACGTTTGCACAGCTTAGGCAAATGGGCAGTGACAGGTAAGGAGCTTCAGCCAAATATCAGTGCTTTTAGACATATGTTTTCCTTTTGGCAAAATTGATCGAGGATATTAAAAAAGTATACTCGTGAATATAAATGACTCACGAATAGGTAGCATTTACACAAGTCAACCTGATTAAAATGTAAGCACCAAAGTTGAAAGTTTCGGATGGGATTATTTTGAGTAAAACATGTTTGAAGAAGTCACAAGAGGCAGTCACTGATCATTTACTTTATTTTATTCGAGGTGATTGTGGTTGGTTAGAAGGTTCTGGTGACTTTTTAAATGTGTTGTCATTTGTCTGCGCATAAAGATGTCATTCATCGGACCGGAAACATTTAATCAATTTTCATTCAAACTTTTCTTCCCCCTTCGTTCAAATTAAAATTGTGATTCACAAAAAAATCACGTGATGTTAATAATCTGTTATTGAATTTACTCTTTCAACTTCGCACGATCCCCTTTCTTTAAGCTGCTTTTTAAGTTTGTAAGTTAGAGTATCCCCTAAAATCGATGGGAATCCAAAACATTAATTTTATTACCGAAAATTAATCTCGATTTGCAAAAAAAAAAATGAAACAAAGTCCAGATTTATCAACAGGATAAAATGCTATAAAAATCGTTTTTTCCTGTTTAAATAGCTACTTCTGCGCGCGAGTAAATGCAAGTTCATACCTCGAGTAACTTTCACTGGAATTCACATCTCGACTAACTTCATAATCTTTGCTGTTCCGGCTGAAGATTGTCGCGCCAGCACGTTTCAGAGCCTATAAAAAAGAGCTTCAACACGATCTTCTATGAAAACGTCAAGAGCTACTCGTTTGATCACGCTGCTTTAGTGTAAATAAAGAATAGGAAAGAATGAAAGTCTCACAGAAAAAATGGTTCAGCGCCTATGCCTGAAGAGCATCACTTTAAAG